TTTTCCCGCACATCCTTCAGCAAGCTCCAGAGCTTCAACTCTAGATATTTTTGTCTGGATTAGGGAGAACAGGGGAGATGGAGGGAGAGGGGGGTGGAGAGCAGGGGAAAACAGACATTTAAAGTCTTTATAGAGGGTTCTCCCTATGTTGTGCGATTTCACCTACATGCACGACGGGGACCCGGAATGTAGCCCCATATAAAAGGAGGGATGCCTGTACTCTTGAGTGGAATGAATGCATTTCCTGGGTGATTTGCAAACTTCTGTTTCAAGTGCACTATTTTGGCCTAACCTAGTGCTAAGCTTCTGCATGACAATCTATTTTTAGTAACTTGTAACTGTAGTTTATTTTCGTAAATGGAATTAACATATTTACTGAACTTGTATTACTTGTTATATTTTTTTATTTTCATTTAAGAAAAGAAGAATAAAATGATGGTTCTACATAGCAGTTAATATATAACTATATTCCGCACAAAAATCCCACAATCTCAAAACCAAGATCTTAAGATACATATATTTAGGCTCAGAAGCAAGTTCCTTTTGGTCCTTGAAAGTGTGCTTAAGACTGTAGCTTTCAATTAGCAAAAGTCTTTCCATGCAGTACCATTTAAAATGGGTCCTACTTCTCTCAGTGTTACTGGAATCAACTTCCCATTTCCTCCATTACTGAGACCCATCCTTTAAACAGTAATTTCATTCCCCCCCCCCCCAGATAGGGCAATCCTTCAGTTTACTTTTTCTTTCATTTTATTTTGTGTTTTAGCAGTAAACATGCAATGAAATTATTAAGATGAAGAACAAGGGACAAAACTATGGATCTGGAGGAAGAGGCCAGGCAGCAGACATGATGGCAATGCAAAAGGAAACCCAGGTTTGCCCCAGCATATCACCCAGTCACATACCTGGTGTACAACAATGGAAGTGATCTTTCCACTGTCAGCCTCATATTCCAGGCAGAAGAGAGCTGGTCCAGAAGAGAGCTGGTCTGGTTCTGTACTGGAGCTGCTTTCACTGGATCCCTCATACTCCAGGCCAGATATGGTTTCAGCTCTACCTGAAATGCAAAGAGGAAATAGCAAGGGAGGCAGCTGTTTTGTCTTGCTGTTTGGTATCCACACATAAAATGTGGTCCCAGGAAAAGGTATTCACATCTTGGCCCCATCCTATTTGTGCCAATAAAAGCTTCAGCAGAACCTTCAAAGGGCCCTGTTCTTTGACGCACGGAATATGGACTCCTGACATCTCCCTTTGCCAGAGTAATTGTTACAACAACAGAAACATGAGAAGATGGACAGTTGATTTAACTCACTTCTTCGGCAGGGGTGATAGACCTGCTGATCTGGTTTCTTGGGCCTGGCTGGGGCTGGTGTATGCCTCTTCTTTACCTTTTCCTTAGCTTCTTCATCTCCTTATCATAGTCATCCCTGGAGAGGAAGTGGGAAAACAACACAGTCTTTTCATAGGACACTTTAGAGGGTTGAAGGAATGCGCAATTGCTGGGAAGAAATCTCATGTGGTACTCCAGACCTGTCAAACAGTCCCGTCTCCTCACCAATAAATCCTTTAAAACAATTTCATGTAATATTTTTATTGCTAAAAAGGCCAGCTTCATTTATACCCAACCCAAGTTTGGCCAAAACTTTGTTCCCTTTGAGCGCAATCCTGCAAACAGTTATAAAAGGAATTAACTTGTCAGTTGATACATTTTATTATTACAATAATCGATTAAGGTTTTGCAAGATGAGCATCATCTTTCCCTCCACTGGCTATGAACACCCAAAAGAACCCTATAGGACACATGTTCAGAGACCAATCCAAGTGATTTCAATAAACTTACTCAGAGTCTCAGATAAATGTTTTCAGAAATGAAACCTACATTTTTGTTTTTACTATTTAATAGCTGTGTAATTCTCTGCATGTGTAGTTAGTAGTAAAGCCCACTGCATTCCACAGGACTTGCAACACAATCCTTACCATGTCTACTCAGAAGCAAGTACTACGCAATTCAATGGGGTTTACTCCCAGGTAAGTGGGAGCAGGCTTGCTGCCTTATTCCCTTGGATTTCTATGTAAGATTTCTAAGTAGGATTGCGGTGATAGTATTGGACTGGATTTCAGTCGTGCTTTTTGTATGCAGACAGTTCCATTGTTTTAGCAACAGCAAAAACTGCAAAAGAAGACCAATGACTTATATTCCATACATACCTAGAGAAATCAACATAATATCTCACTTTGATTTTGAGAAAATACTGACCTACCTAACAGGGCTGGCATAAGGTACTGAAATACCACCTGGAAAATGCAACGATCACCAAAAATGGAATTATTCAAGCTGGTGTTATTTCTCGCACATTGCAATAGTTAACAATAAAAAGAAGGGTGATGCAGCACAACCGAAGAAGGGTGTGGTCCTCATCGTACCCCAAATACCTGCGAGTAAGACCCGGAGACTGAGCCGGAAGTCTCTGGCCCCAATCTCCTTCATTGCCATGAACTCACCCAAACAACTACTCCCGGCCACAATGGCCTACTTTACGGGGTTGTGGTGAGCATTCAAACAAGACGGGCCTCCCAAGCGAGGTCTCCTAGCCATCGCTTTCCTGCTGCCGCCGTTCCTTCGCCCCCAAAGAAGGGAGGGCGGCCGGCAGGAGCAGCAGCAAAGCCCCCCTAGAAGTGGGGCGGGCCTCGGCTCGGACACGCGGGTCCGGGGCTCCGCGCTCCCCGCGGGACCCGGGAGCTCCCGCGCCGGTACCTGGCGATCTGGTTGCGGCGGATGTGCCGCACGAAGCCGTGGCTCATATCCAGGCGCCCTCCCGGCCGGCAGCTGCCCCAGGCCGGGCTCTCCCGCGCCGCCCGCGTCCCCGCCGAGTCCATCGAAGCCGGCCCGCCTCCCTCTCGGCCTCCGGAAGCCTCCGCCGCCAGGCCCCCAGGAAGGCCTCCGCCAGGCCCGGCGCCGCCTTCTCCGCTGGTTGGCGCGGGCGGCGGAAGCGGGGTGGGAGGAGCCCCCGAGCCGGCCGGGCCCAGCCAGGAGCCCCCGGGCGAGCCCCGAAGCGCGGCAGGCCCCGCTTGCCAGGCCCTCGGGGCAGGGACCCGCCTCCAGGAGCTCCAGGGGTCGCGAACTTTTCCCCTCTGGGCCGCACTTTCAGATTAGAAAGTTGCTTCTTGCGGCACAGCGAATTTTCTTAGGCGTAAGAAATACACCTTGCCAACAAAGGTCCGTATAGTTAAAGCCATGGTTTGCCCTGTAGTGATGTATGGAAGTGAGAGCTGGACCATAAAGAAGGCTGATCTCCGAAGAATTGAGGCTTTTGAATTCTGGTGCTGGAGGAGACTCTGGAGAGTCCCATGGACTGCAAGAAGATCAAACCTCTCCATTCTGAAGGTAATCAGCCCTGAGTGCTCACTGGAAGGACAGATCCTGAAGCTGAGGCTCCAATACTTTGGCCACCTCATGAGAAGAGAGGACTCCCTGGAAAAGACCCTGATGTTGGGAGAGATGGAGGGCACAAGGAGAAGGAGACGGCAGAGGACGAGATGGTTGGATAGTGTTCTCGAAGCTACAAACATGAGTCTGACCAAACTGCGGGAGGTGGTGGAAGACAGGAGTGCCTGGCGTGCTCTGGTCCAGGGGGTCACGAAGAGGCGGACACGACTAAACAACAACAACAAGAAATACATTGGATACAACAGCTAGCGCCGCTTGATTGACAAAAGTATCCACTTGATGCTCTTGCTCCCATTTTCAAAAGATATCTATACATATTGTGCAAATAATAATAATAATAATTGATACTTACTATACACTACACCAAAATATTTAAATGTTTATTTGAAACTTCCTGCCACACTTCGCATCCTCTGCCGCCTCCTCTAAAGCAGTGGTGTCAAAGTGGGTGGTGGGTTTACCTAGAGAGGGACATAGGCGTAGCGAATTTAGGTGCCCCCCCTAAATCCATAAAAATACATAGCTGGGGTTCTGCCCCCCCCAACAAAAGGCCTGCGCCCCCCTGCCCAAATCCTGGATACGCCCATGGGGGGTAGCGCTAAGGGGTGAAGGGACGCTGGAGGTATAAACGACTGCCGGGCTGTGAAAAGCTGGTAGCCCTGGATCGAGTTCATCAGTTTTGTCGAATTAAACGAAATAATTTTATTGGCTATTGAAGAAACGTGTGCAATTAATTGTGACTGTTTTTGAGTTTTGTCACGCTGTTATCTTCCTTAGGGGGTCGTGTAAGGAAACCGCTATTCTGAAAGATGCTTTTTACAGGGTAAGGCCCTGGGAGGTGAGTTTAGAAAGTCAAGGGTTGAGGACGGCGGCCCAAAAAATGTTTGGGAGCCACTGCTAGAAAGCGCCAGGCACTGCAATTGGAACAAAAGCGGCTGACATATATCCAGTACTAGTGCAAGTGCAGCAAAATGTTGCAGCACGGAGAGCTCCTGTTCCGTCGCTGTAGCCATTAGCTTTGCCTTGCAAGCCAAAGCATCAAAGGGCCTTTCATGCAACGCCTACAAGTCTTAATTTCTTATGACAGCGTTTTGCTAGACCCCATCAGATGCAGCTTTGAAAGACGAGCAGGCAAATTCTCGGAGGCTGTGCTCCAAGCCACTTGTCTGAGGCAGGCAGCCTCTGCAGGGCACCAGCTTGGGAAAGGCTACCGCTTTGATATCTTTTTTTTAATATTCATAAATATTTTTATGAATAAAATAAATAAGAAAGAAAGAAAGCACCGGGTAATGCAGCCCACAATGCACTGCAGATTGCTGCTGGCCTCCTGCAACAGAGCAGATGTGGGCGCCCATCTCACTCCGGAGCAAGGCTGACTCAAGCCACGTCCAGCTTCCGATCCGCCTGCGCAGCAGCTCGACAGAAGCTACAGCAAAGGGCAAATGAACGCGCATGCGCAAATGAACGGCGACGCGCGTTGCGGACGCTCTCTGAAGTGACGCGCTTAAGACGTAGACGCGACCGTTGCCTTCCACGTGACGGCAACAACGGCGCGCCGGGGGCTCCTCTGCGCGTGCGCCTGCGAAGGTCTCGCTTCCGCGGCGATGTCCGGGCGGGTGAAGCGGGAGCGGGATTCCCGCCCGCTGTCGGTGCGGAGCTCGCTGTCCAGCCGTGGCCCGCAGGAGCCGGGCGGGGAGGGCGGCGCGCCTCGGGGCCTGCGGGTGAAGCGGGAGCCCGCCGACGAGGAGCCCCGGGTCAAGCAGGAGCCCCTCGACGAGGAGGACGACGACGACGAGCCCACCGGTGGGTGCGGGGGGGGGGAGCCGCCTGTCCATCAATCAACGCGCGCCAGCCTGTGGAACTCACTGCCACATGATGTGCGCCTGTGGCCGTGGAGCAGCTGCTTTGCCTGCAGAACGCCCCATGCTCGACCCCCAGTTTAAAGGGTTTGGCAGAGGAAAAGGGGAGCTGCTTCTAGAGAGCTACTGCCAGTCTGAGCAGGGAAGAGGTGGATGGGCAAGTAGCCTGGGTGTGAGACAGCTTCCGATACCACTTGCTGGTATCTGGAGCCTCCCTGCACAGATGCACTTTACTTCAGAGTAGTGGACGTTTAAGGGCAGAAGGCATTTTCGCTCTGCTTGTGAGCTGCCTTTTTGGTTGTCCAACTGCAGCTGGAAATAGTGCGCTGGCCTAGAAGGAATCTAGCAGCTCTCCAGGGTTCCACACAGGGGTCTTTTCCAGATTAGGTAGAGATCGAATTGTCTCTGTTTGAGTTATGATCTCTCCCTGCAACCTAGCCACTCTATTGGTAAAATAGAAGCAGTAGTACAGTAGTTGCACATAGTTCTGGCTGACTGTGTGGCTTAATACAATACAGTTTGTAAACCCCTCATAAATTAAAAATGTCAGTCCGTGCTGATGCCATGTCTCTAAATATCAAGTCTTTGGGTATTTCATAAGTTGCCACTTAGTCAATATGAATTGATTTGCTGCCATTACTCCTTTATGTGACCCCTGTGTGGAGTTACAGTTTGTCAATTCAATTCAAAATCCTTTATTAGGCATAGCACACCACACATTAACAGAAAGACATCATATACAGACTGTATAAAATACGGGCTCAGCGAACACAATTTATCCCAGACCTATTCTTGACTCCAGGAAATAAATCGATGTACATAGATAATATAATACAACACAGCAACATCACCTACCATTAAGAACCACTAAGTCTCTTTATCATGGCCCATTCTCTCTTCGTGGACAGCACTTAAAAATTCGGCCGCTATTAAAGTAATTTGGTCATCGCTGTCCGCCAGCAGGTCCTGAACAGTTGGTTGTGTAAAAATCTGTCTATTCAATTTTAGGGCCTCAAATAATTGTTTTCTGGCATGACTGCCAAAATCACAGGAAAAGAATATATGCTCTAGAGTATCAGGTTCCTGTTTTCTGCATTTACAGAGACGCTCTGATTCTGGGATAGCTAAGTATCTTCCTCTCACTACCACCGAGGGAAACATGTTAAATCTGGCCAACATAAACAGCCTATGCGATTCATGTTTCTTCAGATTTGTCATGTATCCCTTTTGGAAATCTCTACACAAAGGGAGATTTAAGTGGATAGGAGAGCAGGTGCTGTGCTTTGCAACCTCAAGCATGGCGAGAACACTTTTTTCTGTGAGAGTCTTCCTGATAATTTCCCATGTTTCTTTGGGATCAGAGATTTCGAAGTCAGTTAGAGTGAGCCCTATCGAATCCAGTTTTCTCCTACAGATCAATGATAGATTGTGGATTACACTATCACTTAAAAGATCGTAAAGTAGAGAATTAGGGGATAGGGCTCTATAATGGAGGAAGATCCAATATTTCAAGGTCCTCAGCCATGCTCTTACTGATAAAGGCAATATTCCCAGCTCACAACATATTGTTTCATATTTTACAGAGTTTGCAAGTCCTAATAATGACCTCAGAAGGGATGCGTGAAATTTATCCAACCTCTTGAGGTCACCTAAAATCCACACTGGTGTGCCGTATAGAAGTTGGGCACAAATTTTCATGTCAATCACTTGCAATACAGCTGGAATAAATCTGTTTCCTACTGGAGAAAAAAAATAGGATTTGATATGGTGGGCTGTCACTTTGGCCTTAACTATTGCAGCACATATATGTGTATTCCAATTCATATTATTTTTGAATGTGATTCCCAGATAATTGAAGTGCTTAACTTCCTGTATTAAATGTCCATTAATTATATAGCCTTTTGGGTTCCCTCTCTTTCCGAATTGCATAATCTTTGTCTTATCATAATTAATTTTAAGATTATTGAGAGAGCAGTAGTTTGAGAAACTCTTAAATATTTTTTTAAACCCAAAACAGAGAGTGAAATAATTACAGCATCATCTGCATAGAGTAATAAAAAGAGTGGGCTATTGTTTAAATAAGGAGTATGAGTGGTTGCGTTTTGAAGAAATAATGGTAGGTCAGACAAAAATAGATTAAATAGGGTAGGGGCCAAGATACAGCCTTGCCTAACTCCTCGATTATTCAGAATAGGACCTGCAAGTCTACCATCTTTTGATACTTTAACATATATTTGGTTATTTGAATGTAAACTTTGAATCAGTGTAAGTAGATATGGGTCGATATCAAGGTGTTCTAGTTTAGTCCATAGTTTGTTGCGGTCAACCGAATCAAAGGCACTTTTTAAATCCACAAATGCCACAAAGAGTTTTCGTCTATTTCTCATGACATATTTATCCACAAGATGACTTAACACTAGACACTGGTCAAGAGTTGACGAGCCTGCCTTAAAACCAGCCTGCTCTTTACCAGGTAGACCTTTTGTCAGCATCCATTCTTCCAATTTAATAAGCAGAGATTTGGCATAGATTTTACTTATGCATGGTAACAAACTTATAGGCCTGTAATTCTCTGGGCAATTCCTATCACCTTTTTTAAAGATCGGTACCACTATTGAGTTGTTCCACGACTTAGGTACAAGGGCTGATTGATAGATAGAATTAAAAAGCGGCACAAGTTTTATGGCCCACCATTCTACGTCTAATCTCAACAGGTCTATTGGGATGCCATCCATACCAGGTGATTTCCCTTGCTTAAATGAAATAATTATCTTTTTCATCTCCTCAACAGTAATTTGAAATTGTGTGGTTTTTGCCAGAGAAAATTTAAAATTTTCCTTTTTACAAACTTGGTAATCATAAAAAACAGCAGTAAAATGTGAAATCCAAGCCTCTTCGCTTATATTAGGGAGATCGGTGATATCTTTTAATGAGAGAAGTGACCAAAAAGTTTTGGTATCTTTAATTTCTAATGCAGTAACAATTTTAGACCATTTGGCTAGTGCGAACTCAGATTTTTTTTCCAGGAGCATGTTCTTAAAAGCATTTTTCATTTCAAAATAAGTCTTCCAGAGACCTTGGGAGTTGGTAATATAGGCTTCTTTTAGACAAGTTCTAAGTTCTTTCTTATAGTTAATACAGTCTTTATCAAACCAGTTATACTTATTTAAAGGTTTGTTGCTGAACTGAGGGTTTAAAAAAGAAGAAAATAATTCCTGGATAGTCTTATAATAACAATCATTGTCCTCCACGGGCATCAAATTTTGGTTAGCCACAGATTCAGGAATAGCTGGGTTAATTTCAAATACTGCTAATAGATCCTCCCTATTTTTATCACTTATATAAATTCTTTTGGCATAGATAGTCTTATCCATACCAATCATAGGACAAATATCATACTTTCTAGGATTCCTGTGCATCTTTAAAACTATTGGGAAGTGGTCACTCTCTGAGCGAGGGACAACTGTAAAAGAGGCAACTTCATTTAACATTTCAATGGAAACTAGAGAATAGTCGATTACACTCCTACCCCTTTTGGAACTGAAGGTAAAATTTCCTGGAATATCCGGCCACATTGAGCCATTCAAAAATGAGAGATTAAATTCTAGAACCAATTGTAAAAGTTTTCCTCCCGCTTTGTTAATAATGATATCCTTTGAATTCCTCCCTATTCTTAATGGAAGTGGGGCGTCTTCAGCTAGATTTGAGATATATCGTTTATAGAGAGCTGTATTATCTGATCCAATTCGAGCATTGGTGTCTCCCATTATAATCAGGGGAATATTTGGAGATTTACTGCGTATTAAATACAACTCTTCAGAGACTATGTTCCAACCATAATCTGGTCCAATTTCCACCTCTATGGGAGGAAAATATATATTTAAAAGAAGAATTTCCCTGTAACCAATGGAAAATGATAATAATTGTGCATACTGTCCAATATTTCTGATATAATTAATTTTAAAATTAGAGGACTGTTTAATACCACAGATCAAACCGGCTTTCGGGCGGCCTTTTGTTGACATTTTAGTAGCGGGTAAATTATAAGTAATAAAATTAGGAATATTTAGAGGTTTAAGAGACCAGGTTTCCTGCAAAAGTATTATATCATAAGACTCAAGAAAATTTATAAAATCAGAGTCAGCTAATTTACTTGAGAGTCCAGCTACATTCCAGGACATAATAGAAAGAGTATGGAGAGATCTTTGATTTAAGGGTGCTCGTGAGGTATGCGTGGCGCATTCCGGATGTCACACCAGGTTCCTCTGGTTCTTACTATTAGCCCTTTCAGTGGGTTCAGATAGTTCAGATGCTAATTCAATGATGTTTAAAGATGTATTCAGTATGCTCACATTTGTGGAGTGTGGAATGCTCAGGTTGCAACCTGGCGCACCCATGCTGGGCACTTTATTTGGGGAGCCCAATTCAGTCTCATTTAATTCTCTCATTTTATCCCATGCTAATGTAGTGACCAGGTTTGTTTCTGGGATGGATTGCATGCGAGCTGGGTTATAGGAGGGGGGTTTCGGCTCCAAGCTCTGAGAGAATGGAGTCATCTCCGCTGCAACCAATTGACCTGGGGTAACGGAGGGTTTCTCGACCCATAAATCCAGCTCGTGACGGTAGAAGCGTGAAGCCTGATCTGGGACATAATCAGATATGTTTTGGTTATGTGGTCCCGGTTGGTCCTTCGTCAGATTTATCAGACAAGAACGAAGGTTATTCAGTCTATGAAGTATTTTGTTCTGGGTTTCTTGGGGGAGAGCGCAGTAGGAGTGAACTAAGTTATTTTCAAAGCTTTCGAGCCCGTTACCTTGGCTCTCCTCATACGAAGTCCTGGGAGAGTCTGGTCTTTGAAGGTCATTGGTGAGTAACTCTGGAAGGTGATTAGGCGAGTCCTCAGTGGATTTTAAATCAATTAAAGTGTGGCATTCAGCCTTTTGATGATGTGCTGCAGTCGAGGTTGTAGAACTGGGGAGTAGTGGGATAGGGGAGGTCTCATTTTTAAAGAACCTTGATATTTTTACACCACTTGTCTTTAGGTGTTCTCTATGTTTATATATCAGTTTTGCCAATCTCCGATCATGGAATGTAACCACCGCCCTGGCAAGCAAGCCATCAAAATATAGATATTCCACTTGGTCCAACTCCGAGGAATTACTCAAAATACCTGGCATGTATGCTTTAAGGAAGTTCAGTAGATGGACTTTGCGATCCTTTTGAGATAAAAGTCCTGGAGGCTTAGGATAGCTTGAAAAAACAAGCTTGTTTTGAAGCAACACCAGCTTCCAGTTCTTATTTGTTGGAAAGCTCTCCTTATTGGATTTGGAGTTGTCTATGGTTAAAACGTAGGACCATGGATCTTGGGGTAATAAATCTTGCTTAGAGCTTGGTGGTGGAGCAAGCGCTGAAGGTTTTAGACAATCCAGGGCTTTATCAGCACAGACGTTTGGGGGCAAATCCTGTTTAACTGTCTTCTTAGCTAAAGACTTCACCAGGTTCCCTCTAGCCCCAGAGGCTGATATGCGCTCGAGTAGGTTAAAAAGCTTTTTAAAAACCATTTTTTTATAATGCACTGTCTTAAGATTTTTTATGTTTTTACTTTTTTTAACATTTTTAACAACTCTGGATCTCCTTTTACAAGCATTAGCTCTGCGGGCTTTCTTACCCTTCCTTAATGGGCCACTTCTGCAGAGGGTGGAGGCAAGGCCATGATTATTTTCCGATTCTGCAGGTATTCCGACGGGTTTTCTCCAGAGAGTTTTACAGGAGTCAGCCATGATGGTAAGAATTTTTGTGCAAATGTCCAAGTAGGACTTTATGGATTCAATGTCCTCAGTAAGAAGCACTAGCCACTTGATGATTGAGAGACCCTCATCATTTGGCTCGTGGGAATGAGGATAAGAGTCTTTCGAAGGTTTAATATTTCCCGAGGCCAATTCCGAAATTTGTTTTAACATTAGTTCCTCCATTTTTTGGTCTAGCGATGGTTCGGGGGGAGCTTGGGGTTTGGCTTTCAATTTCGGGGATGCTTCATCGGCTGTATCGAGGATATTTTGTGTTGCTTCCAATATATTTAGGCTTTTATTGCTGCTTTTAGTACACTCCTTTCTTTGCATAACCAGTCCTTCATTATGGCTGTAAGAGAGATTGGTAGGAAAGAGTAGGATTTCTCTTCCCTTCTTGTTCTTATTCTCATTGATTTCAGTCGTTTCCTCATTTGTCCCACATTTTGCTCTGTTCATGTAAAAGCGAGTTATTTTTGTTTGTGCTTTCTTTAGAGTGGCTCTTTTAAAGGTGGGCCTTACAGCCTTCAGAGAAAAGCCTGAGGTTTTGCAGCCACTCCTGGTCGTCACCATTGTTTCCTTAAAGTTGTAAATTTGTAAATTATTCCTTTATTGTTGTAATAAACACGCTGCAATGCGTTGACTGAGATAATAGACAGGAGGTATTTGCAAAAGAGAAGAAAGACAACGTGGTGGAGAGGCAGGGGTGAGTTTACTTCTTCAATTGCTGCAAAGTGATTACTGCAGAGGCTCTGATACTCCCCCGGTAATAATCAAGATGCTTAAAGAGGATTTTAAAATATACATAAATATATCTTCTTTCAGGGTCTCAGTACCTTAAAACTTTGAGTTAAAAACTTAATTAAACTAAACTAGGATCATTAGCTCCGTCACAGGGCTCTCCACAAGTCAGTTTTGGGTAAAAGGGAGAGGTTCCAAGGCCTCCCCAGGCCCTTATCAGGTAAGCAGTTTTTCTTTCCTCCCAAGGATTTCACTCTATTCACGTTCTTTTCCTTTAGGGAGTTATACTCACTCGGCTACAATAAGAGTTCACAGCAGGTTTTCTTCAGCTATTTATCTTCCTTCTTGTGCAGAAATCCTCCTGGCAAGCTTTGTTGTTCCTCCCCTGCGCCCAGGTTTCCTTCGGTATCAGCCGCTCCTTGTTTCTCGGCGTCTTTTCTCAGGTTGAGCAGTAAAACAATAAAACAATAAACTAAAAACAAGGCGAGGTGATGAGGCAGCCAGTAAAACGTTAAAAATATAAAATTAGAATTAGGAAGTGACTAAAAACTACTTAAAAGCTTAACGAAAGGCAGGAGCCCTAACTAGGCTGCTGTCTCAGTCGCCATCTTCCCTCCAGCCCCCCAACAGCTAATTCAGGACTTAAGTGGCAGGTTCTGTCTTTGTGGGGCCCATTGATTTCTCTTTGGCCTCCCCTCTGGTTGCAGATCAGAGGCTCCAAAGCCACACTCCAGTCCCAAAACAGTCTCTGCAGCTGCACACCGTTACAGTTTGTCAAGAGTCCCAGTTGATGAAACACTATGCATGCTTTTGAATTCTACACAACTCTTTATTTAGTAGTGTGGACAGATAGAATCTTTAAGCTTACAGGTAAAAGTTGAAAAATTAGAATATCATGGAAAAGTTCATTTATTTCAGTAATTCAACTTAAAAGGTGAAACTAATATATGAGATAGACTCATGACATGCAAAGCAAGATATGTCAAGCCTTTATTTGTTATAATTGTGATGATTATGGTGTACAGCTGATGAAAACCCCAAATTAACAATCTCAGAAAATTAGAATATTGTGAAAAGGTGCAGTATCTATTCAATCCATAACACCTGCAATGGGTTCCTGGGCCTTTAAATGGTCTCTCAGTCTGGTTCAGAAGGAAGCACAATCGTGAGGAAGGCTGCTGCCCTGACAGTTGTGCAGAAAGCCATAATTGAGTGGAGCCATAAGGAGGGAAAGCCTCAAAAGGTAATTGCAGAAGAAGTTGGATGTTCCCAAAGTGCTGTATCGAAGCACATTAATGGAAAGTTATGCAGAAGGGGAAAGTGTGGAAGAAAAAGGTGCACAAGCAGCAGGGGTGACCGCAGCCTGGAGAGGATTGTCAGGAAAAGACCATTCAAACGTGTTGGGGACTTTCACAAGGAGTGGACTGAGGCTGGAGTTAGTGCATCAAGAGCCACCACACAGAGACGGATCCTGGAGATGGGCTTCAAATGTCATATTCCTCTTGTCAAGCCGCTCCTGAACAAGAAACAATGTCAGAAGCATCCTACCTGGGCTAAAGAAAAAAAAGAACTGGTCTGTTGCTCAGTGGTCCCAAGTCCTCTTTTCTGATGAGAGCAATTTTTGCATCTCATTTGGAAACCCAAGGACTCAGAGTCTGGAGGAAGACTGGGGAGGCGCACAATGCCAGATGCTTGAAGTCCAGTGTGAAGTTTCCACAGTCTGTGTTGATTTGAGGAGCCATGCCATCAGCTGGTGTTGGTCCACTGTGCTTCATTAAGTCCAGGGTCAATGCAGCCGTCTACCAGGAGATTTTGGAGCACTTCATGCTTCCTTCCGCAGATGAGCTTTATGGGGATGCTGACTTCATTTTCCAGCAGGACTTGGCACCTGCCCACACTACCAAAAGTACCAAAACCTGGTTCAATGCCCATGGGATTATTGTGCTTGATTGGCCAGCAAACTCGCCTGACCTGAACCCCATAGAGAATCTATGGGGCATTGCCAAGAGCAAGATGAGAGACATGAGACCGAGCAATGCAGAAGAGCTGAAGGCTGCTATTGAAGCATCCTGGTCTTCCATAATACCTCAGCAGTGCCACAGGCTGATGGCATCCATGCCACGCCGCATTGAGACAGTAATTGATGCAAAAGGGGCCCAAACCAAGTACTGAGTACATATGCATGCTTCTACTTCTCAGAGGTCCAATATTGCTCTATTTGCAGTACTTGTTTTGCTGATTTCATTTAATATTCTAATTTTCTGAGATTGTTAATTTGGGGTTTTCATCAGCTGTACACCATAATCATCACAATTATAACAAATAAAGGCTTGATATATCTCGCTTTGCATGTCATGAGTCTATCTCATATATTAGTTTCACCTTTTAAGTTGAATTACTGAAATAAATGAACTTTTCCACGATACTCTAATTTTTCACCTGTATGTCAGGCTCTTCATCTGGTTAAAGCCAAGCTAATGATCAATACTTGGCACCAGGGTTAATGACAAATTGAAGTGGTTGATGCTTTCCTTCCTAGTTAGTTGCTGTCTTAAACACACACTACTGTGATCATGTATTCAGTATTAGGATGCTTATTGACAATTATTGAAAGTGCATCTTTATCCCACTGTAAGGGGTTAAATTGCATGACTAAAGCCCTTTTGTGCTATCTTAGATAAATTTGCACAGGGGATTCTAATACACTGGTTGTCTGTTGCTGGGCTGTGTTTTTATTCTGCTATTAGCTTCTTCTGTGTCACTTTGCTGCTGGAAAGAGTAACTAAGGAAGCTAATCAATACAAATAATTATTTGGCCAAGGACAAGTTCAATTTGCAGTAGTTCAAATAACTGCATATTTTAAAACTACTTCTGTATGCTTTTTATTCTTTCATGCTAAAGACTCCAACATATCTCATATATATATATTCATGTAAATTTAAATATGTGTGTGTGCGTGTGTGTATCTATGCATATATCTATAAGAATGTCAGTATAGCATGTTTCTTGTTTGGTCCCCTCTTTCAGTGAAATATGGTCGATTCGACCCAGAGGACCGACGGAGCAGGCACTGCCCATACTTGGACACCATAAACAAGTCAGTACCAAGATGAAGCTAAGCAGGGAGCAGTATATATTGTCGCAGTGCACATGCAGAGATTTAAAACCATGTTGGTAGTGGTGAAAAATTCAAATAGGCAGTTTGCAACTTTAGCAAAGATGTAGAATTTCTTTAAATGTTCAAACTATGGGGAACAATTAGTAAACTAAACAAGACTAACTGAAATATATGTAATATTTACTTATTGGATCTAAATTGAGGTTGTTATGGGTTATGTACACCATGGTACAGAAACACTTTAGTGCATTGTATATGTACAAAAAGCAAAGGTGACCTTTTTGGTCCATAAGAAAAACCTCCGAAATCCACAGCTGAGCAGTACCTTTATAGTCCAGTTTTTTTTGTGTAGTGTCATGTGGACCATTGCTGGCTTCCTCCCGGATTAAGTTGAATAGTGTTTGAATGGGGTATCTGTCTGGTGGCATTAATTTACCAATGTTCTTCCACTGTAGGAGCGTTCTCGACTTTGACTTTGAGAAGCTGTGTTCAATCTCGCTCTCCCATATCAACGTTTATGCTTGTTTGGTGTGTGGGAAATATTTTCAGGGTAAGTGAGTATGCTTTGGCATTATATGCTTCTTTTACAGACAGAATACCAGTTCAGTATGACTACACTACCTCTGTGGCAAATGAACCTGGGACCAAACTAGCAGGAGTAGTTGTCATGTGAAATGCCTTGCATGATGTTACTGCTAATGTGACTCTTATGTTCAAAGAGATCTCACAAATGAAGCTGGGGTGATGGTGATCTATTGTAATCTTTTTACCATACTACTAGAAGCCTGCAGTCATGGAATAAACTGATCTGCTGAAATCAGCATTTGAAATGCAGGCTTTAATCTACCCTTGGTTGGTCCTTCAAGTTGGCTGATCACAGTGCTGCAGTGGCAAAGAAGTCAGAGGTGGCAACAGTCCCATCAGGGTCTAGATGTCAGTCCTAGCAACTCTGTGCCTCTCTGGTCCATAATCCCCAGCCTTCCAAACCTCCTTTGGCTGCCCCTCTACAAATAGGTCTACTTTTCTCGTTTCCTCTTCACTTCTTCATCTCTGTCTCAACTATCCATTGCAGTACAGGCCATTGACTGCCCTGTTCCATTTCCTTCAGCCACCCTTCCATTGCCCAGGCTCGCTGGTGCTCACTTTTCCCCTCACTTGCACAAAGTCCTCCAGCCTGTTAAATATGATGCATCTTCTCTCAGTTCTTTGTTGCCTCAGCCCTTTTTCTCAAGCTTCATTTCCCAAACAGCTTGGTTCCGCTTTCCTGGATCCTTGCTGCTCTCTTCCTTCATCTTCTCTGCCTTTGAACCTCCTCGCTATTAATTTCCTTAAATCTGGACTTCTTTCAAGTCCACAGCCTATCTTTGGGAGGTTTTAAACCTAACCAAGCTGAAAACTTTCCCTTCCATGTGGATAATTGTATCACTGTGGCTTTACTACCACAAGCACAGTATAATACAGATAACAAATATCCATGGGTAGTTCTTAGGACTGCTCAGGGAAGTTCCGTTACTAGAAGCCAGTACTGCAATCCTGTCTTATTCACAGTTTGGTTCTTGTTTGCCTCCTGTTTTCTTTGCAGGTCGGGGCTTGAAATCCCATGCTTACATTCACAGTGTACAGTTCAGCCATCACGTCTTCCTCAACCTTCACACCTTGAAGTTCTATTGTTTGCCAGACAACTATGAAATCATTGACTCTTCACTTGAGGATATCACCGTATGTTGTCTTCCCTATGAAGGATGTGGGGGGGGTGTGGAAACAGTAGGCTCTTGCCAAACATTGTGACTCTGCCACATTGAGCTTCCATGTGCTTTTTCTGCTGCCCTCAACCCTAGTTTCAGAGGCAGTTTTTGTTGTGCCCCAGAAAGTTGTCTTTACCTGAGCATGTCTAACATATGTCTGGAATGGAACTTTAGAGATACGTATTTTTGTAGACTTTGTTTTAATCTAGTGAGAACTAAGTCTTAACTAATTCTTTTTAAAAAATAAATAAATAAACTTTATCTTAACATAAAGGTCAAACCGGAGTTTTCAGCAGCATATACAGTCCTGTTTATCCTCTCCCCCCCTCACAGTATGTCCTGAAGCCCACCTTCACCAAGCAACACATTTCCAACTTGGATAAGCAAGCCAAACTCTCCCGAGCCTATGATGGCACCACATACCTGCCGGGCATTGTGGGATTGAACAACATCAAAGCAAATGATTACGCTAATGCAATTCTCCAGGTACTGTGACATCTTTGAAATGGAGAAGAAGGAGATACTTCAGTGAAGGTTTGGGAGGTTTGATGGCCACCCATTAGGGATGGTTATATAATAGTTGGGTTTTCTGCCTTGTCAGCAGGGCTGAACTTTCCAAGCCTATAATTCTAAGTATTGAAAGTACTCACAGTAGTCTTAGCCAGCTGTCAGAAATCTGTTCTGTTTTCCAAAAGCTGCTTTAGTTCCACGAGTTTTCTTTTGAGAATGGAATCGTTTTTCACAACTCTCCTTTTTTCTTGGAAGCATTGAGTGGCTAGGAAATTTTTCGCTATAACGTCAGTGTAAACTTCTCCATGTAAATGAATTTTGCTCCATTGTGTTACTGGGATTTGCTTGTTGACCTGACCCTGGGTCAGAGACAAAATGCGGAAGCCAAGGAATATGCAACATAGTTTGTGTGGTTGTTTACGTGTCTAACAGCCTGGTGAACTCAGACTATCTTCTTCCAGATACTTGAACATCTTATTTGCTTGTATCTGACCAGCTCAAATATAGACACTGAATTCAAGATAATGAGCAGGGTGGGTTTGGGCATAGAATTATAGAGTTAGAAGGGACCATGAGGAATCTTTTGCACTACATAGGGCTCAAACCCATGGCCCTGAGGTGAAGAGGCTCATTCACTACCAGCTGAGCATGTTCAGTTTGTGCCTGGCAATCATCATCCATGCCTTCATAACAGTTACTTAGTGCTACTATTTTCTGATTGGTGCCTGGCAGGATTACAAAATTTAATGCCGGAGTTCCTATAATTCACTGATTAAAATAATACAATGGGTGAAAGGGAATAATCCATCCTTCCCCAACCTAAGCCTTTGAGATGTTTTGAACTGTAACCCCGTATCAACCCCAGTCAGCATGACACTGCTTTCTTTCAGCCCACCATCACACAGCAGTGCTGGCTGGGGCCCAAGACATCTTGAGGGTATCATGCATGGGAAGACTGGAATACACAATGATTAAAATTAAATGGAGCAAGGTGATATGGTGGACTTGGGGTGGCACTCTGATATTTGTATTGTATCTTAAATTAACTGAGTGGGTTACAAAATGTTAGATTTTTAACCTGATACGTTTTTGTGGTGGGAGAGGCTGTACTTTGACATAAGTGGAGTATTTTGTCCCTGATCTTTAACCTCTCCATGCCTAGGCCCTGTCTAATGTCCCACCACTGCGGAATTATTTTTTGGAGGAGGAGAACTACAAGAACATCAAGCGCCCTCCAGGAGACATCATGTTTCTGCTGGTTCAGAGGTTTGGAGAGCTCATGAGGAAACTATGGAATCCTCGAAATTTCAAAGCTCACGTCTCCCCCCATGAAATGCTGCAGGCTGTGGTTCTCTGCAGCAAGAAGAACTTCCAGATCACCAAGCAAGGTGGGACATGGGGGGGAGCTTATTGTGTTCTGCTGGTACTAAGAGATTAGAGGAATGCTGTGGTGGCCACAGTGGTACCTAGGGTTACAGACGCTTCAGGTTACAGACTCCGCGCAGCAGCAGTGGGAGGTTCCATTAGCTAAAGTGGTACCTCAGGTTAAGAACAGTTTCAGGTTAGGAACGCACCTCCGGAACGAATTAAGTTCTTAACCAGAAGTACCACTGTAGTGGCAGGCAACTCTCTAGAGGGTTTTATTTATTTTAATGGATTTCATCTTCCTCCAAGGAAGTTGCACAGTACCTGATAAGCATTTCTCATTATTTGCCCTCCCCACATTCTGAACCCTCCTTCTATGACCTCTGTTCATAGCTCTAGTGGTTTTCTCCAAACCGTTGTCTGCCTTTTCCACCTTCAGCTCAACTCAACTGTTGCTCCACTTTGTCAGCCTACTTTTCACCCCTCTGTTCCCCAGGCCCTTTCTCTATCCCACTCAGTATATCCTTCCTCTTCTTGCATGGTTGGATGCCTCTGGAGAAGAACAGGAGTGTAAATAAATAACGGGGGGGGGGGGACTTGTAAATGCTGAGCGCCTTGGCCCCTTCTTTTGCTAGGACTGAAGCTCATGATTGCCCACCTCATAGGAAGGAGGTTGGCTTTTAACTGTAGAGCAGACTTCCCTGCCTCAGTGCTGGGGCTGATGGGAGTTGCAGTCCAAAAGATCTGGTTACAGAAGGCTGCCGAAGAGGTGAGAGTCCTTGTGCCCAGCAGTGTGCTAGACTTACAGCCCTGCTCTACCTCGAACTGCCTTCAGAAGTTGTCACTTTTTCATTCTTTTCATCTCCATCTTTTCCCTCGTTGCAGGTGATGGGGTTGACTTTCTGTCCTGGTTCCTGAATGCCTTGCATTCTGCTCTTGGGGGGACAAAGAAGAAGAAAAAGAGTAAGTAAAAAAGGTTGAGACCTCTGCAATAACCCATGTGCTGTGTTTCAGATATACATACAGCCGCTCAAAATGCAGGAAAAGATACAACATCATTAAAGATGTATGCAGTACTCCAGGTAGCCATTTGAAATCAGGCAGTCAAAACTAAACGACCTGGGTGATTTTTTATTTTTTTTAAAGTATTTACCTGGGCAAAGGGACTGTCAAGTAAGCTTCCCTTGGGAGTGAGTTCCAAACGTGGGTGCAACAACAGAAAAGGACTGTCTATTTACACCTTACCACAGGTGGGACCAGTGGAAGGGTCCCCGAATGTCTTACTACAAAGAATGGGCTGGCATTAACCTTTACTGTCTTTTTCATTGCATTTATTGCTTTTATCCCCCTTTTCCTTCCTGAGAGAACTGCAAAGCGACTAATGGCAAACAGAAGAAAATGGAACATAAACTATTAGAATAATTAGTATAACAAAGAAGCATATACAGTGGTACCTCAGATTACAGACGCTTCAGGTTACAGACTCCACTAACCCAGAAATAGTACCTTGGGTTAAGAACTTTGCTTCAGGATGAGAACGGAAATTGCGCAGCAGCAGGCAGCCCCATTAGCTAAAGTGGTGCTTCAGGTTAAGAACAGTTTCAGGTTAAGAATGGACCTCCAGAATGAATTAAGTTCTTAACCCGAGGTACCACTGTATATCAAACTTTGAGGAGGTTGGGCTATGAAAGGATGAAAAGCAACTTCCTTTGCTTTGTTCTTTATGTCTGTAGCCATTGTGACAGACGTCTTCCAGGGCTCCATGCGGATATTCACCAAGAAACTGCCACACCCTGATCTGGTAAGTTCTTTATTGTATGGGTTAGATTCTTGATTACAAAAGGGGAAAGCACATGGGGTCGGGAAAACCTTGATGGTGAGAGGTGGCTAATACTTGCTGAGCCTATTGCTGCAGGAAAGTGCGTTGTAGAGTTTAATTAGTGACACTAGACCAGTGTTTCCCAAACGTTTTTGGGCAACGGCACACCTGTTTACTGAAAAAAAATCTCGCGGCACACCACCATTAAAGCCCCGCCCCGTGACGTCAGCGCGCAGCGTCACGCCGGGAGGGATGCACAAAAGTGAAAGTTTTTTCCCTCCCCCTTGCTGGGGAACCTCCAAGCTTTGGGGGTGGGAGGAGGCAGCAGAGCGAGGGACTGAGGGACGGCGGCAACTGAGGCGGCGGCGGCTGAGGCAGAGCTGGGAAGGGGGTTTCCAGGGGACACGGCAGCTCCTCGAAAGGCTTCTCTCAGCTGCGCTCAATCCGCCTCGGAGAGGATTTCCCCTCCGGTCCCATGCGTTCGTTTGGGGCATCGCTCCGGCTGCTCCCTCTCCCGCCGCGCAGGAGCGATGCCTCTCTCTGGCTCTCCCTCCGCGCAGGCTGAGGGAGGGAGGGAGGGGCGCGTGTGACCCGTCTCTGCTGGGAGACCAAACCCAGCGAGGCAGAGTCGCGCGGAGGCGCCCAGGCAGCGCTGCCGGCTGCGAGGAGGAGCGCCAGGCAGCAGCAGGAGGCGCGGCCTCTCCTCGCCGCCGCCGCCCCGCCTCTCGCCGCCCGACTCGCCCGCCTCCCTCCAGGCATCTCGCGGCACACGAGGCAACGTCTCACGGCACACTCGTGTGCCGCGGAACACCGGTTGGGAAACACTGCACTAGACACCCACAAGCAGTCCTAAGTCTGTGTTTGACCATGTAGATCAGTGGGTTCCAAAGTGGGCAATACCATCCTCTGGGGGGAGTGGGGTTACCAGGGGGACACCAAGAGCCTGAAATATCTCAGGACCGCAGGACCTCAAGAATCTCCATTTGAACCTACCTGGACCCTGAGGTCTGGGCCTTTTCTGCAGTGGCTCCCTGCTTGTGGAATGCTCTTCCCAGGCCTCCCTGGGGAGGCACCTTCCTTATACACCTTTAGGCGCCAGTCATATAGGTTCCTCTTTACCCAGGCCTTTGACTGATTGAGATCCCTTTTAAATGTGTCTTGGAGGGGGGGATTATCGATTTGTTTTTGTTCTTATTATGTATTTTGTGTTTATAGTGTAATGTTATGTGAACTGCCCTGAGTTTTACAGGTACAGGGTGGTATACAAATCTAATGAAGAATAAATAATGAGGAGGCTACATAGAGGCGCTGGAGATATAGATGGCTATCAGACTTTGAATAGCTGGTATCACTGGATCAAGGTCATCAGTTGTGTTGAGTTGGTTAAATTAAATAGGTTTAACTCAATTTTTAATAAATGTGCAATTAGTTGCCACTGTTTTGAATTGTGTTATAATCTTTCTTAGTGGGTTGTGCAAACTACTATTCTGAATAATGCTTTTAATAGGATAGGGTGCGCTAGGGGATGAGTTTATGGAACTAAGGGGGTGGGGGTCCCAAAAAGGTTTGGGAAACACCATTGTAGGCAGTCAGTAAACACTTCTGTATATATCAAAGTCTGGTGGCCTGAAGGTTCCTCACACTTTTCTTACTGGAGCCTTGCATCCAAGCTGTGTCTGCCACAAGTCTTTTTCTTCTGCACCACCTGCTTTGTTTTTCTCATTCTCTGTGTCTCCCTCTCTCAGCCAGCAGAGGAGAAGGAGCAGCTGCTCCAGAATGACGAATACCAGGAGAAAATGGTGGAATCCACTTTCATGTATCTAACCCTGGACCTCCCCACGGCTCCGCTGTACAAGGATGAGAAGGAGCAACTCATCATTCCCCAAGTACCGCTTTTCAACATCCTGGCCAAGTTCAACGGAATTACAGAGAAGGTAACTATACATTCTCCCCTCTCTGCTTCCACACCCACATCCCGATCCCCACAACAAGGAGGATTGGAGCTGGAAGACACAATCCAGATTGACATGTCCGTGGTGCTGACTTCAGGCATCACACCTTCCAAATGGTGGTACCGTGACACTCATTGATCAGTGGAGAAAAACATGGCTTGAAAGGGGGAACATGAGACTGTGTAGGATGTAAATGCAATCAATAAAATAACAAGGGAAACAAAGGGCACTGGGGTGCAGAAGGGAGGAACAAGCTGACGTTTATTAGAACAATCCCAAGAAAGATCCCACAAAAAGGGAATGTTGAAGTTTTTGGTGAGATTTGGATTCCCATTTGGGGGAAGGGCTCACTTGGGGCAGACTTTGCCAGCCATGTAGCCTCCAGATATTTTGTACAGCTGTAAGAAGGGAGCACGGCTGTGGTGCCTGGGGTTGATGGAGTCGTAGTCCAAAGCATTGGGAGGGGATGTCCAGGGTGGGGAAGGTGGGCTTTAGTGCCCTGGGCCAAGCGGGGATTATCAAGGGAAGCCCAGTGTTCTACAGTGGTGCCCCGCAAGACGAACGCCTCGCAAGACGGAAAACCCGCTAGACGAAAGGGTTTTCCGTTTTGGAGGCGCTTCGCAAAACGAATTTCCCTATGGGCTTCCTTCGCAAGACGAAAGCCCATAGGGAAATCTCTGGGACAGCGGGGAAGCGCAGCGCGTCTTCCCCACTGTCCTCGGACCTCCTCCCGCCGCCAGGCTTCGGAAGGCTGCTCCGAAGCCTGGCGGGGGGGCGGAGAGACCTTCTCCCCGCGCCAGGCTTCGGAAGGCTGCTCCGAAGCCTGGCCGGGGGGGGCGGAGACCTCCTCCCGCCGCCAGGCTTCGGAGCAGCCTTCCGAAGCCTGGCGGGGGGCGGAGAGGTTTTTTAAAAACCCCGGGACAGCGGGGGACTTCTCCGCTGTCCGGGGCGATTTTAAAATGCTGCCAGGCGGCAGCGTTTCTCCGCTGTCCCGGAGAGCTTTTGAAGGCAGGCGGGGGGGGGGGGAGCAAAGACTTTCGCCCCCCGCCTGCCTTCTGAAGAGGTCCTGGACCTCTTCTGAAGGCGGGCGGGGGGCGAAAGTCTTTGCTCCCCCCTGCCTGCCTGTCCCGGAGGGCTTTTAAATCGCCCCGGACAGCGGAGAAGTCCTCCGCTGTCCCGGGGCGATCTTAAAATGCCGCCTGCCAGCATTTTAAGATCGCCCCGGACAGCGGAGAAGCCCTCCGCTGTCCCGGGGTTTTTTAAAATGCTGGGGGTGGGAAGAAAAGCCCTTGTCCCCCCCCCAGCCTTCAGAAGAGGTCGGGGACAGACTGTCCCTAGACCTGGTCTGAAGTCGGTTTCCATAGGAACGCATTAATTGATTTTCAATGCATTCCTATGGGAAACCGTGCTTCGCAAGACGAAAAACTCGCAAGAAGAAAAAACTTGCGGAACGAATTAATTTCGTCTTGCGAGGCACCACTGTAGTTCTGTGCCTAAACATTGTTTACTTTTCTCTGACTTAAAAGTGGTTCTTTAGGTGGATGCAGGGCAATCATGCTAGTTGAAAAGAGATCCCAAAGTTGCAAAGTTCAGCACAGTGCAAGTTTCCCTGAGAAAAGTATGTTTCCAAGCATTGTTTTTCTCTCCTTCAGGAATATAAAACCTATAAGGAGAACTTCCTAAAGCGTTTCCAGCTCACCAAGTTGCCTCCTTACCTCATCTTCTGCATCAAGAGGTTCACCAAAAACAATTTCTTTGTGGAGAAGAACCCCACCATTGTCAACTTCCCCATCACGTAGGTGCTGCCTTTCTCTATGGAATGCGGCCGTGACCTGTGTCCTGGTTTGTCTTCATGAACTTGAGGTGCTGTCTGATGCAAAGGCTCCCAGAGCTGCCTGCAGATACCAGTGTTGAGTCAGTCCCTGCTCTCAGACTCACAATCTGAAAGACAAGACACAGAAAGGGAAATGGTTTAGGAGGGAAAAAGAAAACCCAGGCACTTTTTCTTAGAGTTCTTAAAATGACCAGTTGCCATTGTGTTGCTTTATACCAGGGATCAGCAACCTTTTTCAGCCACCGTCCCTCAAACCATGTGGTGGGCCGGACGATATTTTGAAGAAAAAAATGAACAAATTCCTATGCCCCACAAAAACCCAGAGATGCATTTTAAATAAAAGCACACATTCTACTAATGTAAAAACACGTTGATTCCTGGACCGTCCTTGGGCTGGATTGAGCAGGCGATTGGGGCACATCCAGCCGCCAGGCCTTAGGTTGCCTATGCCTGCTTTATACCAACCTAACCCAGCCTGGTGCTCTTAGTGTTTTGGACTACAACTCTCATCAGCTCCAGTATTATATGGCTTTCTTGCTGAGGCTGATGAGATTTGTAGTTGAAAACACCTGACAGCATCAAATTGCGGAAGGCCTCTATATTGAGGCAGATCATTAGTCAATCTACTTTGGTATTGTCCACACTGACTGGCTAGGACTCTCCAGAGTTTCCCCCAGCAGTCTTCCCTCCCCCTGAGTGCAAAGCAGAGCTCACTCCATTGGCTCTGGTGTGAGAGGCTGCCTCCATCAAGCACCTTCTGCCCCTGAACTGTGCCAGCAGCTGGCCATGTATGTCATGTTTTTTAGATTGTAAGCCTGTGGACAGGGACTGTCTTATTTTGATTGTATGTAAGCTGTTCTGGGAGCCTTTGGGGATGAAGAGCGAGGTACTAATGCTCTAGGTAAAGGTAAAGGTACCCCTGCCCGTACGGGCCAGTCTTGCCAGACTCTAGGGTTGTGCGCTCATCTCACTCTATAGGCCGGGGGCCAGCGCTGTCCGCAGACACTTCCGGGTCACGTGGCCAGTGTGACAAGCTGCATCTGGCGAGCCAGCGCAGCACACGGAAACGCCGTTTACCTTCCCGCTGGTAAGCGGTCCCTATTTATCTACTTGCACCCGGGGGTGCTTTCGAACTGCTAGGTTGGCAGGCGCTGGGACCGAACGACGGGAGCGCACCCCGCCGCGGGGATTCGAACCGCCGACCATGCGATCGGCAAGTCCTAGGCGCTGAGGTTTTACCCACAGCGCCACCCGCGTCCCTTACTAATGCTCTAAATAAATAATAATACAGTGGTGCCTCACAAGACGAAAAGAATCCGTTCCGCGATTCTCTTCGTCTAGCGGTTTTTTCGTCTTGCGAAGCAACCCCATTGGCGGCTAAGCGGATTAGCGCTATTAGCGATTTAGCGCTATTAGCGGGCTTAGCGGCTAAGCTGTTAAAAGGCTATTAACAGCTTAGCGGCTTTGAAAAAGGGGGGGGAAAGCGGGGAAAAAATGGGGAGACTCGCAAGACGTTTTCGTCTTGCGAAGCAAGCCCATAGGGAACTTCGTCTTGCAAAGCGCCTCCGCGACGGAAAACCCTTTCGTCTTGCGGGTTTTTCGTCTTGCGAGGCATTCGTCTTGCGGGGCACCACTGTACCTGGGGATGTCAAGAATTTTAATTTCCATTTTTATTTCAAGTATTTGCACACCACTTTTCATCAAGCTGCTTTTCATCAAGCAGGGGCACTGACATTCTCAGTGCAGTGGCAGTGGGGGGCATTACTGTCAGGGACCACCATTACTACCACCAAGTTAATAGCTTGTTTCTCTCCTTTCTGCAGCTGCCTATCAATTCAGAGGCCAGAGAGCCATTTTCTGGAAGTAGTGACAGTGGAAACCATTCATTGGCAGCCCACTTGGGGTGGGAGAGAGCAGCCCTCTTAGCCCCTTCTTTAAAACTAATTTATGGCAATGGCTCTACAGGTGATTGTAGTTTGTGGCACAGACTCTGCCTCTTACTGTACACTTCTCAGTATCGCCTACAGCATTCTGAGCAGGGTCTCAGCAGGAGTGAGCCTTTCCTGCATTTCACTTTTGTTAGTCTCCTGGTTCTCACAGTTTTGACCCATCCCATGCTGGCATTCAAATAATTGGACAGTGGCTCTTGAAACTGTCAAGTAAAGGAGGTCGTACCTTCTCTCTGTTTCCTGTTTCTTTCAGCATACAAACCTATATATTTGTTATTAACCCTTGGACGTTGCAAACCTTGAACCAGGCTATCAGACCTGAAGCAGAAGGCGCTCTATTTGGCAGGGGACCACACATTTTGGCTTGCTTACTAGTCAAAGTGTGTAGCTGTCAACAGCCCCCTTCCAGGGGGCTTCTCCCATGCAAGTGTGACTTTTGCAGGATGCACTGCAGCAGCTCAAGTGGTGGCTGCCCCACCACCACCACTCGAGCCCAGCAAGCAGGATTTCTGGGCTGAGCATGTTGGGATGACCACTCAAGGCTGGCAGGCAACTTTCTGAACTGTATGGGCCTCTGTCTTTCAAAAGGGAGGCTGCAGGCACTCCTGTATCTTAACAGTTTCTCACTTGCCTCCCTTCCTGCTGTAGGAATGTAGATCTCCGGGAATACCTGTCTGAGGAAGTGCAGGCTGTACATAAGAACACAACCTATGATCTCATCGCAAACATCGTGCATGATGGGAAACCAACAGAAGGGGCCTACCGGATACATGTATTGCACCACGTGAGTCTTGGGTCCATTGCACCATGTATTGCACCACGTGAGTCTTAGCTCAGACTTGTTGACTCCTGAGGTTTTGAAAGTGGCATTCAAAATGCAGCTTTAACTTGGTCTGAGTTCCAGCAGCAAACGCTTTTGCCATGTTGTTCTCCTTGCTAGCCTCTCTCCTGATTGGCTTTCCTTCCTGGTGTTGTAGGGCACAGGCAAGTGGTATGAGCTGCAAGATTTGCAGGTGACAGACATTCTTCCCCAGATGATCACCCTCTCTGAGGCTTACATTCAGGTTAGTACTGGGTTTTGGTGGTGGTGGTGGCGGGGTTTTGAAGGGAGCTGTAGTTTTGCTAGGTCGTGAAATCCCATGGAAACCGCCTGCTGTGCCTTTTGCCACCGTAAGGTCCCAGGGAGCCCTCAAGAGCACAAAAAGACCCTGCAGGGTCCCAACACAAGCAGCAATGAGGTGCCTGCAGGTGACATCTCCCTCTGTGTGCAAGCTTTGCAGATTTTGCTGTTGGGCGTAAAGCATAAAATCTAAACAAGTGGGCTGGAATCAGTCTGGCTCTAACAGGAGTAATTCCTTTCAGTGGCATAAGAAGAAGCCCGAGTGCAGTTGCACAGATAGCTGAAGTAGAAAACAAAGTTTGGTTGCATGCAATCTCTGCTTACAATGCGTTTCGATTCCGTAGATCTGGAAAAGACGAGATAGCAAAGAGGAGACCAACCAGCAAGGGGCTTGAAAAGGGAAACGGAGAGCGCCAGAAGGATGCAGATGCAATCACAGCATCACCTCTACTGTGAAATGGAGACTGGTGTTTAGTGTTCGGTCAGTCAAGCTGGTGTTGTCTTTTAGAAGCCTCTCTCTTCCTGTTGCTGGCTCTGTTCATTAAGCAGCCCAGCAGGGAATGGACTCCTTGGTGCCACTTTGCAGCTCAGTCTTGGCTATGTTCTCATTGGAGAAGAACTAGCAAGAAGACAGGGCAAGAGTGTATTTTCTCAACTTCTTTGGGCACAGCTAACTGCATCCCATTTCACTGTCCAGCAAGTCTACCTAGTGCTGAAATCAATTTCAGGGGGCGACAGGAGAAGGCCTTTCCCTTGTGTTTTGTTCAAGGCTACTACTTCTGAGTCCTGTGTGCATTAAATGTGTATACTTGGTTTTCTAATATGGTGTGTCTTTTCTCCAGAGCAAACCCTTTTGCTGAAAACTGGACTAGCATTCAGCAGAAATGGTCACGTGATGAGCAAGTGATGGCTAAAGTGAGTGTGGCTGAAGGGTGAAAGGGGCCATGTCCTCTTATTAACTTCATTTGCATCAATGACATCCCTAGGCCATGCCCACTCTCTGTAGTTGTTATTAATTTCCACCCCTTCCCTCCTTTGCCACAATAGCTTTCCCCTTAATGTAGTGAAGGAGGATTATGATGGCAGGTGGAGAATGAACACTCTACCTTCACCACCATCCCAGTCAGGTGCCTCTTCCACTTGGATGACCACCAGAAATCCCTTTGGTGGCCGCTTATGGCCTGCAGGCCACAGTTTAACCACCTGAGTTGGAAAGTAGCACTTAACTTGGACACTGTTTTTGCTAATAGTTAGAACTTTCATACAAGAGTCCTAGCCATCAGGTAGCATCTCAGAACTTGTGTCTCATTGAGGTATTGCTAACAACAAATGTTTGAATTCATGATGCTTGAAAACTGGAGCATGGTCTCCTGGTTCTCCTTGCTGCAGCAGCTTCATGCTCAGACACGTATGAAATTAGACCAAGAGTTTGACCATAGCATCCTCCTGGACCAACTGCTCTGGATGGATATTGGAGGCCCATTTACAGTGTCTTTGTTCCTACCTGTGTAGCTTGAATCCCGAGAGCAGGATGGGGAGGGGGGGTTCAGCTCCCTGGCACTTGCGCTGTAGAGTTCCACATTGGTCCCCAATGTTATTCAACATCTACATAGAGCTATTGAGAGCAGGACTTTTGGAGCTTCTTTGGGAGGAAGGGTGGGATATAACTTTCATTGGTAAGACTAATGCTGAGTCCTGAAGCACATGCAGCTCTATTTCTCCATAATATCTGAATTGGGAGAGGATGTGGAAGTCCTGGACACATGACTGAATGAGGGCCAATCAACTAAGTTTGGATCCAGGGAAGAAGGAGGCTCTGTGGGTAGGAGGTTCATGTGTCTGTTCTGGTGAGGGTTGCAGGCCCATGGGTTGGGGTGGTACTCCTGGATTACATCCATGTCATTAGAGGCCCAAGCGACCACTGTGCCTAGGAGCAACTTTGGCTATTTCTGAACTGGGGTAGCCTGGCCTCTGCATTCCATGGACTAGTGACCTCAGGACTGGATTATTGCAATGTACTGCATGCGGGGCTGCCCTTAGGCTTGATCCCAAATCTCCAGCTGGTGTAGAATGCAATGGCTAGGCTACCGATGGGGGCAAATGGCTGCCAGCATATAACACCTCTGTTAAAACATCTACACTGGCCTGCTCATCTGCTGGGCCAAGTATCAAGGTTCCTGCATTAATATACAAATCCTTGAATACCTTGAGTCCAGGATAACTTAAGGATTGCCTGAGCCCTTAAATCCCAGCTCAATCACTGAGAGGATCCAGAGGAACACTGTTAGTTGTCCCCTGTGTTACAGAGGCCCAGCAGGTCTCAACTAGAAGTGTCATCAGACCCATGCTGCGGAAGAGTCTTCCAACAGAAATTAGGTGGGTATCCTTGCCTCCTGGAGTCTCTTGAAGACTTTTTAAAATGTCATCAGGCCTGTTCATCAGTTTAGTTTTTCAGATGCACCTGCCTTTTTCATGATCATTTGGAATGGTTTTAACAGTATTTTCTTTCTCTTGTAAATTTTGCTCTATGCTGCCCTGCTATGAGCCTATAAATATTTTTTATAAATAAAACCAAACACAAATTGGGGGAAGAGGCATAACTGTAATAGTTGAGAGTATGAGAGCTTCATGGTTTCCCTCATTCCCTGCCACAATGATCAGTCATCAGGAAGATTCCAAGCAAGTGGTTCGTGGGGCAGGGCTGTGTAACCCTCCCCTATTCGCTGTATGCTGCTGGCTCCCCGTTCTTTGGCTACAGCCACACATGATCCTGGCAGTGCTGCACAGCCTAGAAGGGAGAGAAGAGAGAAATTAGACCCAAACCTAAAAGAGACAATGCAGACATTCTGCAGTAGATGAAGCTGCAGAAGCTACCTGGGAACTTCAGGGTCTCTGCAGTTTCTGTGCTGGGGGCATGTGAAAGCTCTGGTTTAATAGCTCAAAGTGGAATTAGCTTGTGGGAAATGGTTGCATTTATAGACTGCAAGTGCCGCAAAAGCCCAATCTTATTACATCCTTTCACCAGGACCTCCTGTGCCAATTCCATGCAATATAATGAGTGGGGCTTCCATGGGATTCCAAGCTGTTGTCCTACAGTGATTATCTTGGTAGCCATTGACAGGTGGAAACTTTTGAAACATTGCAGCTAGCTTTGTTTTTCTGTGCGGGGAGGGGTGTTTCACATGTCTACTAATAAACAGAAAAACACTAAAACATGGAAGCGCACAATAATAGCTTTATATCCATCTATGTGTCTCACAGATGCAAAGAAGAGCCTTTGTCAATGGGTTTTTTTCCTTGTTTCTTAGGGCCTGTCCACACTTGCACTTGTCCCCTTGCCTAGAAAGCATGGGTCCAAGTGGCTTTCCACTTGCCCCACCACTTTCTCCAGGAAAGCCTGCTCTTTAGCGCTGAATTGGAACAAATGTCAATCTGTGGAAAAACTGGTTGATGTTTGCTCTGATTCAGTGGTAAAGACTGGGTTTCCCTGGGGGAAAGCAGCAGGGCAAGCAGATGAGCCCTTAGTGAACCAGTCTCAAAGCTTCCTGTTGTCAAAGACCATTAGGGCAAAATCCTGGCACCTGGAGATACATTTCTTCTTTTGGCACATTACAAACCCAAAGAACCAACCCTCCATTCTCACCTTGCATTCCTCAGCAGTGCTCAGGCTGGAGCACCAATAAGTGGGGCCCTGGGCACAGGCAGTAGTTCCTGGAAAAGGCTTCTCAGCCACGCAGGCTCCTAGTTCCTGTTAGCAAGGAAAAAACTTGCAGGGGGGTTAGAACAGATGATGGTGTCCCTTCCAAATCTACAATTCTATGAAGAGAAGAGGCAGAGCAGTCCATGCTGCTTGGCACCTTTACTTTGACAGAATGTGTTCACCTTTGTTGCTAGAAACTTCCTGTTTCAATATAGGGATAGTATCAATTGGGGGCCTCTCTGGGAGATTCTGAGATGGTTAGAATGGCTTGAAAAGGGGTTTCCCCCACTCCCACCTCTTCTTTCTCTATAGCGTCAAGGAGCTATAGAGGACCATCGCCCTGATGTTCTAGCAGCACCCATTTGGCTTTTCATCTTCCTCTTTTGCATTGATTGCTTTACAGGTCATCTTAAACTTTAGTATCTGACAACTTCCCATATCTGAATTTGGTTCTGCTGGCCATCACTTAAGAGTACCTGCCAGAAGGGCAATGACCAAATGTCAATACAGTACACAGGAGTAAGCAAGGTATGCTGTACGTGGGGAACTGAAGAACCAACTTCCGGAAAGTTTAGTTACATTCAGGAGAGCGTCTGCTGTTTAGTTGGGGACTGATCCACGTGTCTTGCTTGTGTCCAGAAGCTGAGTGTCAGCTTGCTACACTTTCAAAATGCTTTCCAAACCCTCTCTGCTGTGCTCCTCAACTATAACATCTGAAAATGCTACACCAACAGTGAGCAATGTGAAATTGAATGTTGTTGTTCTATCAAGGATGATAGCCTCGTACCTGGCATGTCCTCTGGGCGCTCCAAGGCTTGGCAAGCAGTAGGAACAACTTTGGCTCATGCTGATCAATGAAGCTTTTGCACTACAAAACAGGAGGAAGAGAAGTAAATATTGAGCCTCTGCTCATCTGGCCCCTTTGGCTTGGCCACCTGTGCACAGAGGGTGTTAGTGGAGTATTGGGACTGGCTATTTCACTATCTATTGTCCATGGGCTGGTACAAGTGAGGTTGGGTACAAATAGAAAATAGGAATCATCCCTCTCTCCACTGTTTAATAATAATAACCACAACAACATTGAGACTTTAGAGTCTTATGATTGTCCCCATTTCTTGCTACCATCATGTCTTTCTCATGGGCAGGGCTAGTCAATGTGGTACCCAGATGTTGGGCTGCAACTCCCATTGTCCCTGATAATTGGCCATTCTGGCTGCGATTGGTGAGTCTTAAAAAATCTAGAGGGCACCAGGTTGGGTAAGGCTGTTTTATAAGTGGCAGTAATTATTCAGTCTCCTAGATGTTTACAGTGATAGGAGTTGTAGTCCAAACCACCTGGAGGGCACCAGGTTGAGGACGGCTGATGTAATTGTGAAGAGTCCCCAAGTAGAATTGTGGGAAGCTGTGATTTTGTCCTTACTCTCTCGCTGCCTGTTATGCATTGGGGTGCTTCCCAGCATATCTATGGAAGACCACCATCTTTCAAATCCCTCAAAACTCACCTCTCTCACAACTTCTTAGCCTCCCCATATCCTGCCGAAACCGAAGCCTAACTGAACTGACACATTTAGTTCTGTCTCCCCTCTGACAAGCCCAGCGAGGTGCCCTCCAGATATTGTTAGACTACAATTCCTAGTGTGGTATAATGGTTAGAGTGTTGGTCTAGAATCTGGGAGACCAAGGTACAAATCCACACTCAGCCATGAAGCTCACTTGGGTAACCTTGAGCCACTCTTAACCTAACCAACCTCACCTGGTTGTTGTGAGGCAACTGTGGGGAGGAGAACTATGTATTCTACCTTGAGCTCCTTGGAGGAAAGCTGGGATATAAATATAATAAATAAATAAAAAGACATCATCATCATCATCCCCAGCCAGCATAGCCAATGGTTAGGGATGATGGGAGTTGTAGTCTAATAACTGTTGGAAGGCACCAGACTATGAGCTTAAGAAAGGCAGCTACTGCCTGGGTCCCCGTTTGTGATTGTGACATGGGGCAAGCCACACACTCATTCCTTGCTGCATCAGAGTCAGGAAGAAGCAGTGGCATAAAGGGGTGTGGTGAGGGTCCTGGGCCTCTTCCTCCAGCTAGGAGGACAAGGAAGGCCTTGCAGTGTTCAT